TTTGAACTGCAAGGTTGGCGGTTCAAGCTCACCAGCTACTCCTTGGAAACCCTATACAGGGTGGCTATGGGTCAGAACCAACTTGACGGCACTTAACAGCAACAACCACCAAAAGATTGCTTGTTCAAGTATACCTGGAGCACTTCGGAATAAAAGTCTATACATCTACTTCAGAACAATCACTCATTGACACTTCTCTGGAGCCAATTCTATTCGGATACAGATGGGGTTACCGTGAGCCAGAATGAACTCGGTGGTAACTGGTTACAGTTGGCTACCACATAATGGTATGTATTCCTAAATAAGGTTTTATTCTGTGTTGTCTGTTTGGGGCCTTTATATAAATGGATTTAAGATGTTTTTGTTATTCTAAAATTTGCATTTTTCACTTGAAATTTTATCTATAAGCTCCTTCTGCACTGATAGGTGAGGCTATAATGTATTTATTTTCACTGTGAGTACATCCAACTTTCGTTACTCATTCTCTTGTAGGTGGATATTGGAGGACTCTATTCTTGTGCTGTGAAGTTCATTTCTACTATGAATACTCTTGGTCATGTCTTCTGGGGCTATGAACATGGATCAAATGATTAGGTCCTTGGCTATGGATACGTAGCTCTGAACATGTGTTACATGCTAGAATAAATGAGAAAGGTATGAGAAAAATGTATTCAATATCTAAAATCTTTTATCATGCCTATTCGTATTCATTAAGGAGCCCTGGTAGCACAGTGGGTTAGTGTTGGGCTGCTAACCACAAGGTCAGTGGTTTGAACCCACCAACTACTCTATGGGAGAAAGATGAGACAGTCCACATCTCTAAACATTTACAGCCCCAGAAACCTTATGGAGCACATCTGCTCTATCCTATATGGTCTCTGTGATAGTTAAGGTTTTGTGTTGATTTGACTTCACCAGGATTCTCAGTGGTTTGGCAGTTAAGACCCAGTAATCCCCTTGATGGGATCTTCTATGAGCAGCCAATAAAATGAAAGGAAGTTTCCTCTGGGGTGTGGCCTATTTCCAATATACTGGAAATATATATTGAAATATATAGAAAGAAAGTTTACTTTCTTTCTACTGACTCTGGACCCTGCATCCAGCTTCTTATTTACCCTTTGGTTCCTTTGACCTGACAGCGAACTGCCATATTGCCTGTTGATCCTGGGAGTCATCGGGAACCTAGCATCTTTCTTGCTTACCTTCAATTCATTCACCTCTGTATCCAGAAGCTCTGTAGCCTGCCAATCTTAGAGTCAACAGTCCCTGCAGTTGCGTGAATCAAAAGAATCCTGCAATCTGATATCTGTTCCACAGACATGGAACTTGCCTGCCTCCCTGGTTTTGATTCTCCAGAGAACATAACCTAAGACAGTCATGATGAGTTAGAAGAGATTTGATGATGACAGTGAGTTTGGTTTGATTTATTGTTATTTATTAAAGCAAATCATTGTAAAAGAAAACATTGGACCACACAATGTTTAAACAGGAAAGGATGACTTTATTCTGAATTTAAAATATTCTTTAAAAACAGGGGGAGGGTGGAATAATATTGAAAGAGAGGTAAAGGAAGGAACATTGCAATAATAGATGATCACAGTAGGAAGACAGGAAGGGTTTTCAATGTACAAAAGGTCCTTAAGAAAACCTGATGGTTAAGCACTTGGTTACTATCTACAAGGTTGCTGGTTTGAATCCATAAAGTGACTCCTTGAAAGAAACATGTGGCAGTCTGCTTCCATAAATATTACAGCCTTGTACACTTCAATGGGACAGTTTTGCTCTGTCCTACTGGTTTGCTATGAGTTGGAATTGACTTCATGGCTATGGGTTGTAGTGGTAGGAAAGGTCCTTGTGGGCTGTTAAGCATAAGAAGTCATCTCCTGAGGTTACTGTAAAGGGTAAATGGAACTTGTTCCAACTGGATTCAGAAAGAGTCAGGGAAAGAAGGAGGTAAGGGGCCTCCCTCTAGATCAGAAGCCTGACTAGAGTTTAATCATAACTGGGGAATGTTAAGTTCATTATACAGTTTTTATAATAATTTTTGTTTCTGGTCAAAGGCAGCATTATTATTGAATGGCAAAGAGATTGCAAGAATAGGTTGAGGTGAATCAGCCACAGGAGCAAAGCTGCTACTTAAAAAATAAATTCTGCGTCATAGATTGGGGGGAAAAATCACAATGATATAACAGATAAGGGACTATTCTCTAAAAATTATAGAACATTTCAAAACCTTTATAAGAAGTAGACAAATAATCCAATTGAAAAATGGGTAAAGGACATGAAAAGACACCTCACTGAAGAAAACATTCAGGTGGCAAACAAGTGTATGAAGAAATGCTTGCAATCATTAGTAAAGAGATGTTAATAAAAACAATGCGATATCATTTTACTCCAGCATTTGTAACAAAGTTTAAACCATAAATGCTGATGAAGGTGTGGAGAAACTAGGATCCTCCGACACTGCAAAATGGTGCAACCACTGTGGAAAATGGTATAAGTTGTAAATAGAAATATCGCATGGTCCAGCAATTTCTCTGACATGAATGGATATATACACACACCCATGTTGGAGGAGAATATAAGTATCATGACAGTCAAAAGAACAAACATATCTGTGTTGAAAGAAGTACAGCCAGAGTGCTCCGTGGTAGCCAGGATGGCCAGATTTTTTTCTCATACTTCAGGCATATTATCAGGAGGGACTAGTCCCTGAAGAATGGTATCATGTTTGGCAAAGTGAAGATTTGGAGAAAATGAGGATGAACACTCAGAGATATAGATTGGCACAGTGGCAGTAGTGATGTTAGGTTGGTGCAGGACCAGGCAGAGTTTCGTTCTATTGTGAATAGGGTCGTTATGAGTCAGTGCCAACTCGATGGCACCTAACAACAACAATGCTCACTGAAGCATTATTCATAATAGCAAACAGATAGATATAGCCTAAATGTCCATCAATTATTAATAGCTAACAAATTTTGGTACATACATACAATGGAACACTATGCAACGTTGAAGAAAGTGATGTATCTGTGAAATATTTCATAATATGGATAAAGCTGGAGAGCATTATGTTGAGTGAAATTAGTTAATCACAGAAAAACACATTGTGTGAGACCACTGTTGCTGTATTGTGGTGGCTTGTGTGTTGCTGTGATTCTGGAAGCTGTACCACTGGTATTTTAAATACTAGAAGGGTCAGATGACTTTCCAGACTAAGACTGATTAGGAAGAAGGAAAGAAGGAGTATATCCAAATATTTAGTAGTGGAACACTGTCAGCACCAGAATACTGAAGAATAAAACATGATGAAAGGCATCAGCATGTTGCCAGATATAGTGCCGGAAAATGAGTGAATTCAGAGTATTTGCCCTGGGGAAATGTCCTCGTCTTCTTTCAGCATCTGTAGGCCCAGAATTCCTTGGGGATCGCCATGTGTCTTGCCATCAATCATTCCCTGGATCTAGAGCTTGGTAGTGCACGGACCCCAGGTCCAAAGGACACCTTCAGCTCCTGTTTCTTCTGTCTTGGTGGCAGTGGGCCCCTCTTTCTTCACTCATGTTTCTCTCCTTTTATCTCTAGCAAGATAAAGCTTGCTGCATGCCACATCTTTTGGACTTTCCAGTACATTGGATCAGGGTCATGGTAGGATTAAAGGTGGGAGCTCTGGTAGCATAGTGGTTACGAATCAGGCTGCAAACCACAGGGTCAGTAGTTCGAAACTACCAGCTGTTCCACAAGAGAAAGAGGAGGCTTTCTGCTCCCATAAAGATTTACAGCCTCAGAAACCCTGTACAGGGTCGCTATGAGTTGGAACCTACTCCACGGCACATAACAACAACAAATTCCACCCTTAATATTCTTATTGGTTTATCACATCAGATCACATCATGGAGGATCATCACATGACTGCCAAACCACTGAGCATCACTGTCCAGCCAAGCTGACACATATTTTGGGGGGACACAATCAATCCATGACACAGAGCATCTGAACAGTGTGGGTGCATATGTAACTATGTATTCAGAAAACAAACCTCATTTGGAATATTTCACACAGAGCACCAGACACATAGAGGTAGAAATGTTGAGGTCAGGTGGGGTGCCAGTGGCTCACCACACTAGACCAGAAGAGCAAATTAATGCAGCAAGGGCTGGAGATGCCCATGCCATTCCACAAAAATTAACTGGTACCAAAGAAATTGCCAAAACCAAGAACTGGAACACCTAGATTCTCCCTTCCTCCCAGGCCGAGGCGCCTAATGGCTAACCCCAAATGGAAGCAAAGGCAGATAGAAACTGTGGAGTGTAACCAGCAGTCTGCAAGGGCCAGGAGTGGCTCAGAGGCCAGCAGCAAGGGGCTGCCTACACTGAATCCAGATTTGTGTCATCCAGTCTATGGGAACATGATCTAGCCGATTCTAGTACTAGCAGTATGGAGAACAAACCAGATAGTTATCATACAGTAATAGTGATGCAGAAGTTTCTGCAAATTTAACTAACTGAACATTTTTAATGATTTATTCATATTTATGTGTGCATTTATTTTTCAAACTTCTGATATCTGCTCCTTTGGGTTTTTGCAGTGTCTCATTATTACAAGTAGTATATAGAATTTTTTATTAAAGTATGTATTTTGTTCAGGAAATACATTTTCTGACACTCTTATCAGTCTCTTGTTTTGTGACATTAAATCTGACAAGTGTAAGAATTTCAAGATCTAAAAATTTTCCCTAAGATGAATTCAACTATTCAGAGGAATGCTCTTAAAGAAAACCCAGATCAGACTAATATGATTGAAAACACTCTAATGATGCTTAACTGTAGTTAATCCATAATTCTTTGCCTCTGAAGTCCAATCAAATTCTTATACATGAAATACACTCGAAGTCCTACAATAGGAGGTTCTGGACAATTCTTTTATTTGCACAGTAGCTAGTCTTCAGAGAATGAGGTGGGGGAAGGCATCAGATTTTCCTGAGGCATTTCTTTATGAAATGGCTCACCAGTCTCTGGGGTCGCTGCTGGTACTCCACAAGCACCTCATGTGTGCTATTGATCTGGTCTCCATCCAGACGGTTGAGGAGGGTGACGCACACTACAGCTGCTGTATTAGAAGAAAAGGCCATGTGGATTTCTAATTTATCTCAATGAGAGGGAACCAGGGAATAGCTAACAATGGGGAGCAGTGCATTTATTCCCTCAGTAGTCCAACATCAGACAATAAAAGGTAGACTGAATGTCTCAAGATAAAGAATAAGGGAAGGCATTTTGAAGTCTATTTCCTCTCTTCTATCATACGGTTATTCTCACCTTTCCTTTGTTTCCAAATGAAATTACCATGAACATTCCAGGAGCAGCTCAGAGTTACCCTCTCCAACTCAAGAAAGGCAAATTTTGTCCGAGGTTTATGTAATAGAAGGAAGACTTTGACCTTAATCGAGGACTACTTAGAGGAGAGTTCTGTGGCTCTGAAGGATAACACAGGACTGCTAACCATAAGGTTGGCAGTTGGAGCTCACCAGCTGCTCCACTGGAAAAAAGATGAGGCTTTCTGCTCCCGCAAAGATTTACAGTCTCAGAAACCCTGTACAGGGTCACTGTAAGTCGGAACTGACTCGATGACACTTAACAATGGGAACTTGAAGTGCAAATACCCACAATTTAGAAATAAATTTTAAAAATTAGAAAACCAAGCTTGTTGAAGGGTAGCAATCTCATTTGGCAGGACAGTCTGATCCGAGCTGAAGTGGGCTTTTCTAAAATCTTTCCTTGTCTTACTTAGTAACACAGAGAGCCACTGCAGAGATGTAGGGAATCTTGCATTTTATCATTTCACAGTAAATACAGGATGCTTGAGCACAGGGATATGGTAACCCCACCTTTTTCAGAAACACGATGGTATAGATTGAATCATGTCCTCGAAAACATGTGGTGGAATCCTAACTCCTATGTGGCACTGTAGGATCAGCGCTAGCCTTCAAACCACAAGGTTGGAAGTTCAAACCCACTAGATGCTCCTTGGAAATCCTCTACAGGGTTGCTACGAGTTGGAACCAACTAGATGGCATTTAACAATAATGGTTGTTGGTGCTATGTGCCATGGAGTAGGGTCCAACTCGTAGCAACCCTACATAGGGTTTCTAAGACTGTAAATCTTTATGGGAGCAGAAAGCCTCATCTTTCTCCCATGGAACAGCTGGTAGATTTGAACTGCTGACCGTGAGATTAGCAGCCCGATTTGTAACCACTACATTACGAGAGTTAGATGCCATGGAGTTGGTTCCAGCTCAGAGCGACCCTATATAGGGTTTCCAAGGCTATAAATCTTTACAGGAGCAAAAAGCCTCATCTTTCTCTTGCAGAACTGCTGGTAGTTTTGAACTGCTGACTGTGAGATTAGCAGCCCAATTTGTAACCACTACACTACCAGAGCTCCAATGGATGTGGTGCTGTAAGATAAGCACTAGACTGCTAACAACAAGGTCAATGATTCTAACCCACTAGCCATTCCTCAGAAAATTCCATTTGAGAGTAAGGATTTCTATGTTATGTTAGTGGGTTCTTATCAGTGCTGGGTATGTTTTAATCCTACTCACTTCTGAGATCTAAAAAAGAGTCGATTAGGCTCAAAGAAGCAGGCAAGAACAGAAAAGAAGAAACACGCCACACAGAGGCATTAAGGAATGCCGGATCTATATAAATAAAAAGAGATTGTCCTTCAGACACGACAAAGAGAGAGCCTTTCCTGAGAGCTGATGCCTTGAATTGACGAGTCAGTCAGCAGTTCGAAACTACCAGCCGTTCTACGAAAGATTTACAGCCTCAGAAACCCTAGACAGGGTCACTATGAGTTGGAACCGACTCCACGGCACACCACCACCACCTAACGGAGTCCTGGTATTGTGCTGAGGGATAACGCACTGGACCACAAAGTCAGCTTGAACTGAACTGCAAGGTTGGAGGTTCAAATTCACCAGCCGCTCCTCAAAAACTTTATATAGGGTCACTATGAGTTGAAACCAACTTGAAAAGGCACTTAACAACAACAACAGTCTCCTGAGGGGTTGGGCACATGTCAGAAAGTAAATGTGGCCCCTGGCTATCATACTGGCAAAGAACACCCAGACTAGACTCAGCCCAGTGGAGACAAAAAGGATGGAACTTTGAGGCCAAGAAAACACATGCCTACCTCGGAGGCCACAAGCACCACACAGAGCCGCAAAGACTGAGGATTCCATTTCAATGTTCCGGATGCCACTGGTGTAGGCTGCTTTCAAGTACTCCTGCTTGTCCTTTTCCGTGTATGAGCAGAGAGCACCGTCCAGGCGGCCTTGTCCTGCAGGGCACATGAAGACACAGAGCTTGTGACCCAGGCATCTTGAACACACACATGACATGAATGCCTACCTTGTGCTACACACTGGACAGACGCAGCTGAGTTCATCCAGTGACCGTCATGCATGAACAGACCATTATGAAGCGAATGAACTATCATGACTGAATGAGGAGAACAAAAGGAGTCCCGACTCGCAATCGGAAGGATTGGTGGAGGCATCCTGGGTAAGTAGAACCTTCTCACACACCTCTCCATCCACCTCACCTTCATAGAAATCCAAGGTGCACAATGTGTTTCCCACAACTACAGGGAACTCTTCCAGCTCTTTGGAACACTGCATCAATTCCTGTAGCAGCTGGTCGTCAAGGTGTGTGCTCCGAATGACCCGCTTCCCCAGTATAATCTGCTCAAACTCAGGCCGAAAGTGGGCATCCACTGCTTGTCGGGTGATGACCACAGATCCGGGCTCCAGACCTGAAGCAAGAGGCAGGCAATGTGTCCCTCAAGGTGGACCCAGGTCCACAGTGGAAGCATGGGGGAAAAGAAAATGATTTCTCTGCAAAGCAAATTACTAGACATAGTCAGCATAACTCTAAAAGGAAATATTTAATGACCCACTTTCTTCATTCAAATTAATTTTTTCTGATTACAAAGGTAATTAATATATAATCAGTATGGAAAATATGGAAGGAAAAAGCACAAAAAAGGAAACAAAAATACCCAGGAACCTCATCATATTTCATTAAATATTGTTTTAGTTTTTCTAGTCATTGTTAGTTTTCATTGTTGCTGGCACTCCACCATATGAGATGATATCAGTTCTTTACTTGATCCCTTTTTTATTAATGGTTGACTATTAAGATTTTTAGCAAATATGAAAGTAGAACAGTGTATTGAACCTCTAAACTCAATCTTAACCATTACCCATGCCTGCACAGTCAGGCTTTCCTCTGATTTATACAATACTGGGGCCTGGTTTGCATCTGTTTTCTGGACATACCTTTCTGAAATATGTTCATGTTTGTGGGACATTATTCTGCTCCTTCTTTTTTCTTATGATAACTATGCATAGGATCTGACCATGATGTTTTCCTGTTTAATATGAAATTGGTTTACTAAGCATTCAGGAAGGAGAAACATACCAGGAGAGCTTTTCAGAACTCCCTCATCAGCTGTTTTCATGAAACAATAAAAACACAGCCGACGGCTCGGTTCTTCTGGCTCCATGATGATTTTCCATGTTTTGTGCCTAGACCTCTCCTCTCTTTCCTGCCATTGTCCCTGTTCTGATCAATGAGGCAGTTACTATCAGCTTTGAAGTTTGCCGGAAGACAGTAGCAGCTGATTGCTGTCATGAATTCATACCATCAATAAAGTTCAAGCTGTCCCTGGGTATCGTAAACCGTTACTATGCTTACTGTAAGGACCAAACTGATTTTGCCTACCTAGAAACTGCTTGACTAAACTCTAGTCAGGCTCAGGAAAGCATTTTAAATAGACAAGGCCTCAGTTATTAGTTCCCTTCAGAGGCAAGGTCAATCTCCATTCTGTACATTAGCCTGAACACGTACTCTAGTTCCAAGAATATGATATATGCATAAAG